ATCATATCTTCTGTTAATAAAAATGATAGATGTTAGAAGGTTAGTAAAACAATAGATATAGCTCATAATTTGAGAAGAACATGTTGATGGGCATTTGCTTGATTACATGGGCTGAATTCTAAGGATCAAATCCAGACATAGCATGGAGAAAAGAAATCGATCTAATGATAAAGGAGATGAAAAGATAAGGAGGGCAGTAATAAGGTTAAATTGGCCTAGTAATTGTTCATTCTTTTCATAAGATGCTGAAAGCATCTATCCATGTTCTCTCTTCTGCGATATATATTTGCACTGTCACATGCATGTATGAATGTTATTTATGTTTAATTAACATCATTTTGCTTGCTTAGATATATTTTATAAAGTTTGACTATATTTCAAAAAAATCATACAAAGTCATGTCTGTAGAATGTGCATATGCCTTATATATTTCAAAACTCTTATGAGGGACAGGGGGAGCTTCATTATCCAAAGTCTTTCTCCTTCTGTCATTTAAAACAGCCATTTATAAACCAACAAAACTCCACTAAACATGTTTTTTGTTTTTTGGTTTTTTTTGCTAATTAATCTATCATGCATCTATGTTGTTGTTGTTAAGTGCCATGAAGTTGGTTCCAACTTCAACAGAATGCAATATTGCCCAGTCTTGCACCATTCTCACAATCTTTGCTATGCTAGAGCCCATCATTGCAGCCATTGTGCCAATTCATCTCATCGAGGGTCTCCATGCATCTATACACACACACTGCTGTCAAGTCAGACTGACTCATAGTGACCCCTCCGTGGGTTTTCAAGACTCCAGTCACTACTCACCAAAGTAGGATGCAGAACATTGTCTTCGTGGACTATGTTATGCAATTAAGCTTAGTGTCCCCCAAGACTGTAGTTCTGAGACTTCATATCCAGCAACTCATTTCCTCAAGGTGTTTGGTTATGAATAAGATATTTTCATAACTTTGTCTCCTGTATGCTCTTCTATATTCATGGATATTTTTACAGCATATGTAAACACATATTCCTATGTGGTGTAGTAATATGTGTTTACATAAGCGGCAAACAGTCCATGAAGACAATGTTCTGCATCTACCATTTTCCTATGTGGTGTAGTGGGAGCTCTGGTAGCATAGTGCCTAAGGCGCTTGACTGCTAACCAGAAGGCTGGCAGTTCAAACCCACCAGCCACTCCTCGGAAGGAAGGTGGGGAAATCTACTTCCGTAGTGATACTGCCTCAGCAACCCAAGGACGGGTCACTATGAGTTGGGTCCGACTCAACGGCACATAACAACAACAACAACATATGGTGCCTAAGGTATTGGACTGCTAACCAGAAGGTTGACAGTTCAAACCCACTAGCCACTCCACAGAAGGAAGACTGTGCAATCTATTTCTGTAAAGATTTATTGCCTCAGAAACCCAAAGGGGTTCGCTATGAGTTGGAATTGACTCAATGGCAGTGAGTTCTTTTAAAATAAATAAATACATAGGGAGAGAGATCCTCTATCAAACCTACATATATTCATGGGTGTAGGCCCCTTCACCTCCCAACCCCTGTTCAAATTGTGTTTCTATCTACGGACCCACATGTAACGTAGTTATTACCATTACTGCAGGATTGTGCATGCAATAATATTCACCTTTGTTGCCTTTAGTTCTTGTGCTACTCCCTATGTCTTCCACTGCCTTAATCATTTTGTGCTGACCTCCCCTTATTGTATAAGGCCTTTCCCTTCACCCAAGTTAATACATGTCTACCCTAGAGTTGGTGATTTTACTTCTCTTCCCCTCTCACCCCTGGTAACCCTCAGAGAACAATTATTTCTGTGTGTAAATCTTTAAAGAATTCCTTCTTAAAGAAAGGTTACCTATTCACCTCTATACTAGCTCTCATTGTACAATCATATTTGACTTCATAACCTATACTCTTTTTATAAGAAATTTCTAAAAGGACAATAATACACAATAACATAAAATTGTTTGTGCTTCTACTATTTATAAATTATTTCCTCATTGTACACCATATCATTTTCTCAACAATTCTTGTGAAACCATCCTTCGTCCTTTATAATTAGATATAGTCCAGTTTGGTGTCACAGAGTTCACTGCCTTTGTGATTACTATCTGAATAATTGAAGAAATGAGAGCATGGGCATGAAGACCTCCAAGGTACAGAGTAAGAGAAGAAATGAGAAGAAAAAGCATACGGTAAAAGGAAACATGGAAAATATTTCTCCTGCTTCTATCCAAGACCTGTCATCATTCTTTCATTTATTCATTCAAGAATATTTGCTAAGTGATTACTGTGTGCCAGAATATACCACTGAACAGATAGGACTGTTAGGCCAGAGTAAACTCAAGCCACCAACATTTCAGTTGGCAGCTTCCTCCAGGTGTCAGGCCCTGATGAGACAGCCTGATAAGACAACTGAGGTGGCAGAACTCGCCCAGGCTGGAAAGCCCCATGTGATGATAAACTTCCTCCTGTGAA